TTATTTGCATGCGTAACGGTCATGCAAGATTGACGTTATTTCTCTTGTCGGTTCTCAACTCACTTCGAGATCTGCACTATAAGGGAGAAAGGCGAATGGAAACAGAGTAATTGAGAAGACTTTTGAAACGGAGAAAGCTTTCGCTGCTCGGCACTGCGAACATTGACGTGACCTTTAACTCCGTGTCTTGCAATTTTTTCAAGACCGATACTTTGAATCTCTAACGTGTACTATAAGATTACAAAAGCAAGATAGTGCATGAGATCCAAAAAGTATGAATTTTTTGAAACAATTTTTTTTCTAAATATATAGCTCATGAATATTGAATATGAAAGAGTAGGGATGTCTAGAATCTTAAACTTTTTCTTAGTTCACTGTTACTGGTGTCGCCCTCGGGCGGAAGAGCTGGTAAAGATCTTTAAGAAACCTCACACCCCATTTTCTCGCACCCTTCTTTAACCCTAAGAAATTCATCCCCGTGGGGTAACGTAGCTCGCGCTATGCTTGCGTTCTTGCTTGTCGGTAAGGATTGCTGGAAAAAAATGTTGATAAAGAAATCATCTTAGATAAAATTTTTCTACAAAGAACATTAATAATTTATTACTACAAAAATGCTAGTATTTGACAATTATTGAAAACACATGAAAGTTAAATTTTTTTCCAAGAAAAATCACAAATTTATTATTTTTTTTTATAACAATTAGAAATCGTGTGCTTAAACCCAAAGGTTTTTCTTTATATTTCAGATAATATTTTTCTCACACCTTATTTCAGACTTACCCCCAAGGACTTACCTAAAGACAGTCCAAAAAGCAGCATGGTATTACGCAACTAGTCGGCACATACTCAGAAAGCGAAAGACTTGAGAATAGTAAGTGAGGTCGGTAAGAAAGGAAAAGAATAAGGGATGATTCTTAAAGAAGTGGCGCTGCCGGCAGATCTTGAGTGCGAGAAAGTTAAGTTAAGAAGTCCTTAGTACCAATGCCAGCCACTAAGAGCAGTGGCGCTTCATCGCCAACCCCTAGAAAAAAAAATCAAAACAAAATCACCACCATAAAAAGAAACCATAAACTTCAATAGAAAAAAACTCTTTACAGAGCAAGCTCGCGATTAATTAAAAATATTTGCAACAAGGGTGGCTTTAAATAATTATAATAAGCACGACCACGCAAGGAACCGTAAATAGGCATTGCCTGAAAACATTCGAAGGGAACAAAGGCTCACATCGGTGAGAGGACTCCCTTACGACCGGTTAATTTAATCTAAGCAAACATCACATAGATGGAAGGAGAGTCTGGCATATGGACTACGATACTGAACCAAGTAAAAGGGATGTAGTAACACAGTGGCAGAAGAGTAACGTGGGAATCGCGAGGGAAGTAAGGCTGAGTCTGAGCAAAGGGTATGGTGGAGGAAGATAATGCTTAAGGGGTGGCTCGAGGGATCGACCGTAGATCTAGATACATACGTAAGTACAAGAGTATTCAAGGTAGTGCGAAGGAGGGATGTTTAGCATGTAGATGAAGATCTTGGTAATCAAGGGTTGCGGCCCCCCGGGCGTACTTCGTCAAGTCTTACTTATTTCTTGGCTTCAGCCACCACTTGAAAATGGCCTTGTATAATTGTCTGCATGCCTATAAAGGTAACCGCCTTAAATGAACCTGCAGAAGAAAATTGTAAAAACCAGTATGTGTATAAATCAATGGAAAAATAAAATTACACCGTTAAAGTATAGAGTAGAAGGATAATAATTTTCATTTTGAACAAAGGACCCGTTAAGTATTATAGGAAATATAAAGGGTTGATTCGTCCACTGTACCGTACAAGGGGTGTGGTACCAAGCCGACGGGGTAGTCGCGAGTGACCGGTGCGCCTAACGATGAGCTAACCCTCACCCTTAATAGCAGAACAGTGGACACCAACCCCTGAAACAGATTCAGCATCCCCATAACACCTACGAAAAGTCCAGAGACCCCTTATGCGTGGCGTCACGTGTGTTCTACGCTGGAAGCCCAGTTAAGTTATATTATGTATTTATAAAATTACTATCCCTTTAGTATAAGATCCACGTTACAGTTAGTGTGTCGTGTATCAAAAAATATCTCGAAATTCGGTTACCACTTTAATCGATCCCAATTGGTCGTTACTATCGTCATTCAATCAGCTTGAGTTAGGTAGGTAGGCGGCATGCAGTCAATTTGACGATTTCGATACAAGAGCTGGAACTAGAGCATTTTTTAAAATTTTATCTCATAACACAAAAACGACAGATACATTATTTTCAACAAATATATCAGTTTCGTTAAAATTTTGAATATTTATTTTTTAGCTTTTTCACGAAATCCATACGTCAAATATTCACGTAAATCTGATCACGGTATCCAGAACAGTTAAGGCAAGGAATGAGGGGATGATGGATGGGGATTCGATTCTGCGATCCAAGCCAGGATTTCATATAATCGGATGAGAGTAACTGAAATTCAAGGAGATTCCGCAACTACGTAACGGCACTTAAAGAAATCTGTCTGCTTTTGCGGTGTAACGATAATTTATACCGTTACAATGACATAGTACAAAAATACGGAGCCAAAGAGAGAACCAATATTCCACGGGTTACAAAGAAATAATATGTGATTACATTAGTGATGGTACTCACCTCTCGTGGAAAATTAGCTTCTGTTCAAAAATTGCTGCTATAACCAAACAATTTAGAGGCACTCTACAATAGTCGTGTTACACGCTTACCGTTGCTATACCAGGAATTAATTTTGAAATCGAGTGAGCTCGAGTTGATCCTACCTAGGAGAGTAATCAGTGGCCTTCTGGATCGAATAGCTATCGACCAATTGAGTTAGGATAAACATCCCAGTTCTACACGAGCTATTATATAGATTACACATGAAACTCTAGACAAATAACTTTGCACAAATAATTCTAGAGAAAAATTCTACAAGTTTTATACCAATAACTCTATATACTATTTCTTAAAGTTTACACGAATAAATAAAATTCTGCGTCTACATTGATAATCCGGCGGTGCTTCGAGCCTACACGCGTAAATTCTCTGAGATATTCATACAAGTATTTTTACATGATAACATTCTGAACGACAATAGAACTCACACTATTTTCAAAAAATTGTTTACTGCTAAATATTTGGAGTTAAACTGAACTTAGTTAATATTTCATCAAATTAGATTAGGTTAGAAATCTAATGTTGGATACAATTTAAAAAAAATATTGTTACACGCGTAGAATATTTCTTTCTAGAATTTATTGGTCTGCATAGGATTGGTACTCACTTTTCGTTAAGATCGCAGAACAGGGTCGATGATTTAGGTTACCTCTCGGTCGATACATTGACATGTCAGAAAGAATATCGGGCATGCAACGATGTTTGAATTCTGCACGATCCACGGACGTTCTAAGGGCCGGGGATCACGTGCACCGTTTTTCGTTCCCACGAAGCATAAATTCAGGTCGTGTCCTAAGTGGTATGTGGAACCTCAAAAACGAGCTAAATATCACTGGCCTACAAATCCGTACACAAAGCTCTTACCTAGCACGTTACCGCGTGGTTCGGATTGCTTGACGACTCGCACTATAGCTTCTAGTTCTAGTTAATGGTAGAGTTGTCAACGTTCTACGTTTTCATACTATAGACGTCAATCCTAAAGATTTTTTGTCTCGTTAGTATGAATTGTTTGTAGCGTGTTGTATCCTGGAAGTCCATGTAGCTCGAAAACGATTCACAAACATGCACGATTTATTAAATATACAAAATCTTCTTCCCTGATGCAACGCCAGCGCCTCTGGCGGATAAAGTTTGCCCTAAGATACCCTGTGGCGCAGCCCGTGTTGATTCTCTGAATTTACGGGTAATACGTCACGTCACAATATAACGTTCTAGGTTTGACAATTCGAATGTAAAACGACTTCAACATTAAATCGCAACGCTCTCACGCTTTCAACCAGCAAACCGTGTCCAGTTTGCTAGCAGACTGCACGGGTTGTGCACTCGCGAATGTTGCAAGACTGACTATGCTATTTGCTACGTTCTATTCACTATACTCCATTATCTCTGCTCTATGCTAGGCTCTGCTGCTGCATCACTCTATCACGCTATACTGGGGATACTAGGCATGCATATAGATATATACAGGCATTAGAACATGTGTACAACACTTACTCTTAACCATCGTGCATATCAGGGCGCGTACCTCCAGTTCACAGTACCTGCAAACGCAGTTTTATCGAAATTCTACGCGCTTTGACAATTCTATATGACAATTCTATCTTTAATGTTTCTTATATCGTAAATTTCTTCATTTTTGTAATTTTTTATTTCTTTCAATACTGATCTCGCTCGATGAGAAAATAGAGGATATTGTAAACTATGGGTTGTAAGCGTTGTAAGTCAAAGATTTTATGTATGCAAGGCTAGAGAGAGAGACAGAATGAGATAGAGGAGTAGAGGGCTGAACTCTAGCAACTGTCCCGAGACACGGCAACGAGTTACCCCCAAAAGTTTAATTAAATCTTTCACGAATTTACATACACCTCCGACATGGGAAAGACCTCCAACCATCTCGCGCGGAAAACCCTTTGTCGAGATTCGCGGTAGCTTTATGTGTATACCTCCCGAGACAGATTGTTGTTTTATTACTGTTGTGGCCCCTATGTGCATACATGAGGGAAACTATGAACAAATACAAAATGAATTTTTTTGCAATGCCCAGGTAAAAATCTAAGATCAACATATACGTATCGATGTCAAAGAAAAAAAAAGTAAAAAACCTCAGTTTCAAACTTAAAACGACAGTGAAATTTGTAAACGTTCAGAAAATATTTGTTTTCAACAGGATTCATGGGAAATATATTTTTAACAAGGTAAATGCATATTATGTAACGCATTATCATATTTCGTAACAAGTTTTTTTGGACCGATACTTTGGAAATGGTTTTTTGGAATATCAGCGTAATAAATAAAAACTGTTGTGTTATTTTTAAATACATTTTATTCGACTCGGTCAAAAACTACGATAACAATAGTCGGTAGATATGTATCAGAAATAATGAAAAACGTATCGCAAAATGAATTGTCGGTCGCGGGCATCGAGATATGCCTGCGCTCACATTTAAATACCGAAATTAATATTCGGCCTAATGAAGGATTTTCGTCGAAATTTTTCGATGTACGACGTTTTCCCGTCACAGAGCGCGTAATCGTGTAAGAGCGATTCTCCATGAGATTTAAAATCAACGACTATCGTTACACGACCCCGCGATTATGCGACAAACACTATAATGTCTTCGTTGGAAATGAGCCTTTCGCTGACTAGATAGTCTTTGGCGACAACGATCAGCAGTGGATTGAAAAAACAAGAGAGACGTCCGTGTCACTTAAAGAATTTCTTTATTAACTTCATTTTTTTTTAAATTTAAAGCTAAAACCACAGACAATATTAATCACTTTTTTTTTATTAACTTTCCAATCCACCATTGTCCGTCCACCCTTATTATCTTCCCTTGAGATCCTTGAGGGATATTGCACTCGTACCCGCAATCATACATACATACATACGCACATAAATAACGTTCATATGCATTTATACTATGAAACATAATTAAAGAAATAATTCTCGCGTCGCGTCATTCGCAATTAATAAATCGTTCGATGAGAGACGATGATCTATCGTTCTATTCGTATATACAGTTATGTACATCCCTTTAGCTACCCTCACACGATACTCCAATATCTCCATATCCAATTGTCACTCCCATCCCTCTTAACTTACCCTCTAGTAACACACTGTACCGTACCATATGCACGAATTTTGCTGAAAATCGGGAAACCAATGGTTTCTGGATCGTTATTCGCGATTTTGACTTACGATTACGAAGTCACCGTCAACCGTCGTAATTTCAAATTCGAATTTCCCGCCAACAAGCCCAAACGGGAGTCACGAGTACTTATTCCGTTCATGGCAAGGACCGTTTTATTTTTCACGTCACTATGTTACACCTAACTCCATTACAGGTAATGCCCAGAGTTTTTAATTAATTTTTCTTTGTTGTTTTTCACGTCCTGACCACTGAATAAACTATACCGATGGGGTACTGACGTCGCTGGGTACGCCCGTCAGGGTGCGCCCCAGACAGAATTGAAATCCGTTGGAAGATTGAGTCCATGGTCGCCAATCTTCCGACTGGATATTTTCACCAGGTATTCCGTATTATCATCCCCTCAGTAAGGTCGCCATACGTTGTTATCAGGCCTAACCTCTTCCTGTCTCACGCTGCAGCTCTCCGCCACGGCTCTGTGCTCCGCGTTCTCCGCATTCTGGAACTGGTTCCCGTAGAGTTGCGAGTAGAGGATGCTGGGTAGGACGCCAGGTGTTGGAAAATAATTTCCATAGTTTTGTCCAAAGCCTTCCTCGTGAACGGGACTCTCAGTGGTGCTGGAGTCCGTCGACAGTGACCTGGGCGAAACGTAGTCTTGATACCTCTGCGACGTGCCAGACATCAGGGTGCTCAATGGATCCAACGGATCCGCCTGACCGCCTGGTGTTGTAGTATCCGGTACCACTGTGACGTTAAGAATATAGGTGGACATGGTAGCACCGAAAGGTCAGCTGACATAAATTCCAAGAAGTCGTATGGCAATTATATACTCGTATGTCAAAGTCCATGGTATTTAATTATCATACTTACAGGAAGACACCGCAGAGAAGGCGTCTTGTTGCTGCGACGAACTACCTGTGGTACCGGAAGCCACCCCCGAACCCGCTGTCGAATCCGGCGCCGTAGGAGTGTTCATGGAAGCGGTCCCAGCGAAAGTGCTTAACGAGGATGGCGGCGGTGGTGGCGGTGGTGGCGGTGGCGGCGGCGGCGGTGGTGGAGGTGCAAAAGGTGCTTGAGCTGCACAGGACGACAAAGGTCCTGGTAGGTAACCCGCGTAGCCTGCCGTACTTCCGTAGCCCCAGGAGTTACTCGCGGTCAGACCGAACTGCGGCATGTCTGTGCAAGACGCGAGTACAGTCGTGTAACGAGATTGATGATCATTCTACGCGGACGATGATAAGTTGATAGCTTGGGTTAGGCTAATAATTATTAGGTCAATGGATGGGGGTTCCTGCGCTTCACCCTGGAGACATTCCTGGAAAGTGTTACGGTGCCGCCATGACGTCGTTTCGTTAGTAGATATGGGTTGGATATGGTTAAAGGGTTGACAATGCCGTCGAGACGTTATGAAGGATCCTAACTAAATTTTCTCTCTCTCTCTCTCTCTCTCTCTCTCTCTCTCTCTCTCTTCCTCTACCTCTCTCACTCTCTTTGTGGGTGGACTCCTTTAAAAAATGGGCCCTTTACGTGGATACCTTACGGCATCTCTTTCTTCCATGTGGAAGTTCAAAGAAAAGACGTTTGTGCAGCTCGTTAAGTGAAACTTAACGAGCGTTTTGAGTGAGCGTTTATGGGGAAATCAAAGAAGGTTTTATGGGGATGACAATCGTGTGTACGTACAAAAGTGACTACTTCATTGTTTTGTATACCTTAATGAGTCGTCTATTGACTACATGGTGTACTGCTTTAATGAGGTAGATTCAGTTTGTGCTTATATAGTGCGGTGTAATTTTGGTAATTGAATTTTGAAATTTTCGTCAATAACTAGAAAGTTTAAAGCTAACTATGCAAAGGTCAATCATGGATGGTTTTAACGATGAAATAAAACGCGTCGCCTTCATGAAAAGGATGATTTATCCCTTAATCAATATCTGCATCAAGACCGTCTATGTCGTAGAGTCTATACTTTTATGGGGCAGCCACCCCCGATAGGTTTTCCAATGAGTCACGGGAAGGCAGAAATGCCGGCCTGGGCATGGCCGGGGAGTAGCGAGATCAAAGGGTTGGTCAACCCTACGTAGGTTCAGCCAACTCAAATAACCGAGCTCGTTTCGCAATACTTGACTTGACTCGTCTCGACTGTTTAGGATCTACCTAACCTTAAATATTAGGGAAAATATCAAGCCAATTGTCCTATTAGTTACCTGAAATCGCAATAGAGAAAATCTAACAAATGAGAAACTCTGAACAATTTACTAATCACAGTCATTGAAAAAAAAATCTATGCAAAATACAATATCTTTCGAGCAACAGTGCAATCGATAAGCAACCAGACTGATAATCTAAGCAAAGGAATAAGTGAAATATGAAAATTTTCATGGATAATAGAAAAATTAATAAAGGCGGTATTCGCACGGTACGCATCTACTAGTAGCAGGATTCGTGGTTAAACTCGTTTTATAATATCGGCGAACTCGCCGACGCTGAAGGGTAGTTGAACCTGACCACCTACGTCTCAGGATACCCTAGTAGATGTCTAGACAGAATCGACTCTATCCGGATCATTTTTAATTTCTGTTCTGAATTTGGTATACCTTCCATAAAATTCAGCGTATATCTAAAACGTAGTAGCCAGGTGAATGTAAGGGTAGCGTCGAACGTATGTGTAAACTACAAACAAGCTGGCACTGTACTAGGAATAAGGTACAGCAAAAGGGGTACAGGGGTTGCTCTCATCATCCTGCCGGTTCTACTCCCGTAGCAACCCCTTTAATATAATATTTAATCTAGCTTTGCCCAGGCTTGTGGTTTCTGCCTTTGCAAGCAGAGATGCTAGCTCTCGGGCCTATCCTAACCCCCGCTATGCTTTTACGTACCGAACCGTAGAGTAAGGGTGGTTTACGAGGTATTCTCAAAGTTGCTACTCGAAAAAAATTTTAGATACACTTGACTCGATTTTCAATATTTTTACGATCATTTCTTACGTGGACCGTTCCTAGTTACCACTTTTATATTTATTTTTTTATTTTTAACTACTTTTTTAATTACTATTTTGATAAAAAAAAATTTGTATCGTTACAGTACTCACTTTGACAGTTGCCAGGCATTGCATGCCTGAATGATGACAGCGGGTCCCGCGGTTGTAGCGGATTCGGCAGGGGTTGCAGGGGATTCGGCAAGGGTTGCAAAGGGTCGACCAATGGCGAGGCAAAGAATGGTCCACCACGTTGAGAGGCAAAGGCGAAGGCATGAAACTGCTGCTGCTGCCCTAGAAGAGATAGCACTGCGATCAACCGTGCGCCTGTCCAATGGACTTCAGGCTCTAGCTTCCATTATCCTTACACCTAGCCCCTTTTACTTTTACAGAGTGTTACTATACTCTTACCGTCTATTTTTACAGCCTGAAGCCAGTCTACGTGAAAATCAACTTTGCCCACTTCTATATAGACCACTACCCTATCCTCCTCAACCATCTCAATCGACTACGAACCGCTGCGACTGACAACAGGCTACCAAGGCTGGGGATGAGCCCCCTCTCACTCTCTCCAACCAGGAAGGAACCTGCCCGAGAGACGGAGAGACAGAAGGGTAGGATGCCACTGGTGAAGACGAGTGAGAGAAAGGGGTATCAATACGTTTTATTTCCCTGCGACGGTGTCGGCAACCCAATTAAAGACGTCCCGACGCGCAACCCTCTGGTACCTAGTGTTCATCTACAGGAATAAAGCCACCGTAGTAGAATAGGTAGCTGTTCTAGTATAGTTTGATAATATATATATATATATATTATAGTAGGCTAGACACGACGAACGGGATCCGGACTGAACCGAGAAGGCACTAGAGACCAACCAGGTAGAGGCTGCAGGCAGCTAGAGGCCTGCCGTCCTGATAATCCAATCGAAGCCCTAATTCTAACTCGCAGCACGAAATTCGCGCTAGTTTGCTGAATAGAATGGTCGATCGAGAGACACAATGGCGCAACGCCGGAATACCGATGAAACGGCTAACGAGATCCGGTTAAACGACAGCGATTCGAGGATTCGTGTTCGTTGGAGGTAACTCGAAGATCCTCCTCGGGAGCAATTCCCATAGTTTAGTCTATCCTTAATCATCCTTTACACGTCGATCACGCAAATTTGCGACACCGTACACTGATAACCTCGGAAGATCAATACAGTCCGGATAAACGATACGTTCGATAATATCTTTATTGAACTATATACTCAATAAATTTGGTACTGTTCCGTAACATCCCTAAATTATCCACAGTGAGACTTGATAAATTTAATAAATTATCCCATTCATTCCCCAAATTTATCAGCCGACCCTCCCCAGCACTTCAGTACCATAGCCTAGGGTGTGCAGCTTGTATTTCATTATGTGTCACCGGTTCAGCAGGAGGTCCTTCCTGCAAATTTACTCCCAGCGTTATGTAATCCTAAATGTTACCTATAGTGGATAAACCGTAGATACCAGTTTGAAAAATTGTCACTATCTCCAAATCAATAGTTTATTGATTTCATTGTATCGGATTGCCAGTCCCCCACAACCCACACCACCAGGGAATTTCTCTCTAGTAACCATCTGCCGGCGACAGCCTCTCGTTCTTGAGGGTCTCCAGTGTCTTAGGACCTATCAGCCACCCCATAATCTCGTACAGAGAAGACAGACGATACATTTCGCTGGATATATACGTATAGTTCCATACTGGATAGTGGAATATCCATTCCACATTCCGATGCAACGAGTTCCCCAAGTATCAAGTCGATCGTTCACGAGGAATACCCTGGTAACCCTTCTCAATCAATTTCCTTGGTCCCGGGCGCCTTTCTATGGCGGTGGGCCACAGTAAGAGGGCGAGGTTTCGGTCCTGGGGTTGAATGTGTAATGAATTGGTTGTTTAATTAATTACAACCCTTCCGCAGACCAGCCGAGGAGCCAAACCCTTCGGTGCCGGCCAAGACGCATTCATCCTCACGTCAAACCATCGGCTCGCGAAAAATCAAGTGATTTAAGGGCGATATTCGACACGCACCCGCCCCCTTTCCCTCTTCCACCCTCATTCCTTTTATAAGACACCTACTGACATCGTTTTGCTCGATAATTGATAAAAAAAATACCCTTACCCCCTGTCACTCCTTTTCTCAATTTTTTTGACTCATTGCCATCAAGCCTTATCTTCGATAGCAAACACCGGCGATGCAGAACACTATTAAGCCACACCTCAGAAGGAGCCCACCCATGAGAAACCTAAACCCTTTCATCTCGGTGTCGCATCCCTTAGAAAATTTAATACCCAGCATCGTTACACGATTTCGTGCGGGTGAGTTTGTTTTAACGTGAGATGCAACGTGCCGCCTCTGAGGGGATGCTTATTTTTAACCCCTTTCTTGCGCGCCGACAAGACATGCCCGTCTTTATATATACATATATACATATATATATACATCTTGCTCTCTAGAAGGGACCAAGGATGAGGATCCCGAAAAGAATTAGTAAAATTGCTTTCATCCCTGTCAATCGGTTTACTGTACTTTTCGTTCTCATTCGAATTCAGAGAATATTAAGAAATTGTATTGCTTCACAGAACGGCACGAGGGGGACAAGGATGGACCGACAATAAGTATAAGAGAAAGAAAGACAGTGCTCGTCTCGAGGACGACGGTGTCATAACGCAGAGTTACGGCCGGTGGGTGGTCCACAGATGCGGCCAACGCGGCGGATGTGGTCACGCTATACAACGAAGCAGAGTTATACCGTTCTCTAGACGGCGTATAGAGACGTGAATATATCTACATACGTCCGGTTATTTTTGGTAGGTATACCGACGTAAGTTATACGCTCGTTAAAAGCCGATACCTACTCACCGAAAGAAATAACAGCGGCGGCCTAACGACTCGTTCTGTATAAGAAATAAGTATAACAGCCCTTTCTGTTCCTATTAGGATCGCCTATAAATATCGAGTAGTTATAGACGCTGTCGTAGAAACGTCCAGAAAGATTTACACAATTTCTGTGCGCATGAGTATGGCTAGTCGAGGTAGGTAAGAATCTGGGAGCGCTTGCTGTTAAAAATGAAGATGGAAAATTACATGAGGTAAGATGCATATGAAGTTTCTGGATGTCCTAACCAAACCTGCTGAAGTTCTTGGTACTTCGTGGAGTTCATAGTAATATCTGTACAGACCTAGGCCGCCATGACCCTTTATCAATGTTATGAGCTACCCATGGTTATAAATAATGGCCGTTGCGGAACTCGGAAGTACCCTTTGCGTATATGCTTTTGGGTAAGTAGGTGTATACGTGTATGGATAAGCGTGTGCGCGTAATGGTCTGATAGTACTTTGTGCTTAATGCATTTGCGGACTGGTACAAGGAACTTTGTGTACATGCTGGTATACGTTGTTTTGTTTATATCGTTTCAGTTAATTCATTAGCTTATATTATAGTGCTTAATATCTAGTAAGATTGATAAGTAGGAATAACAATGCTTACAGTGATACTCACTGGTCTTGGATCGGGGCTCCCGTGGCCCGTCTACCGTCACTTTGATAGCCTTCGTGTAGGTCGCGACCTGAGGTGGCGTCGTCGAGACGGTTATCGTCAGAGTAAAGCTTTTCCCTGTAGACAAAAGAAATTTGTACAAAAAATATTATAGTCCTTATCAATATCTTTACGTCCGATAATTATGACACTGGGTTCAAGGATACTGAATTTTTATTGCTAATACAATTTTCTCGATAATTCGTTGAGTCGATTAGTGAAATTAAATATTTTTATTTGAATTTATTCCCACGACTTTTGCATGAAATGGTAATTGCGTCACGTAGCGATAACGATTGAAAATATTTTCAATGCACTGTCGAATTATCGTTACTCGACCAGGTCGCGTCACTGTGAGTCCGTGACGTCCCCGTCGCAAGGGGAAAGTTCGTAAACGCGGTTATCTCCAAACTCCCTATAACGAAATTACACTTTGGTAATGTATCGAGGGCGCGACGTCCCGGCGCGCTGCGTAGACTCTGAGTTAAGGGGATGACTGGGCGTTATGGTAAAAAGGTTCGTAAACTGGGAATAATGTCGCGGAAAAAGTGGCGTTGCCACGCGAAATGTATGGCGAGCCGCGAGCCTGGACAAGGGATGAAGTTACGGAGGTGGACTGGATGTATACGGGAGCATAGGGGAGAGGTTATAGGGCATGGGGATGGTACACGCAGAGGTTCACCGCAATTCCAACCCCGAGTATCTCCCCGGCGTACTCAACGAGCGTAAAAACGAAACACCACCCTCGAAAACACGCACGCACCTACGTAAACCCTGGGCTACCTGACTGCCTGGCTGTCTGACTGGTTGGCTTGGGTATGTGGAGTGTGTACCAGAGAGCGTACCCAATCATAACGTATATGTAAAACTGTTTCGCTCAATATTACGTTGGTTCGTCGATCCCGAAGTTACCGTGAATAAAACTACCCCTAGTTGACAGTATTGATGGACCATGAGCCAGACCTCGTATCTGTATGACCAACGGAGTTGTGCTTGGGACAAGGGTGGTTCGGTATGGGAAGTGTACACGTCTTATTGACTTATGGGTACAGAAATTGGTATCGGTACCGGTACACACCGCTAGATGGATACATCGGAGCTCAGAAGTAATGGGAATAATGGCGAGTGTCGGTAGCCGATGGGCCAACCCCGTGGCCACAGGGTGGTTCGCCACGCGAGCCTCCGCGTTATGACTGTGAACATTTCCAGTAGGGGGGCGCACGTTTACCGGCCTAGGAAGTCGAGTCACGCTATCCTCGAACAGTCCTGCGACTAGATGGGGTCTGAGACTTATGTTAGCTACTTTAAATGTTGGTTGGTGTGTGGAGCTAACGTTGGGTATCACCCTCGGTGCCAGTCGGTGGCGAGACATTGAAAGGTGGTTCTAACCTTTGTCGCGGGTCTAGAATTTTCGGTGGTGATAAAAAAGGAAGGTTGATTTTTTTTTTTACTTTGTTAGGTATTGGCTCGGGACTGATGACCTTTTTTTTTAGGACTGGATGACAACGTGAGACAGTGGGGTGGAAGTTTGTCTGAGACGCTGGAGAATCGTGAGGAGAGTCTAAACACTTTTTGGTATAAATAGAACGTTACGGAATTAGAAGTCGTATAACTTGGGACCGCAGGATTTTCGTGAATAAGCAGTTTTTCAAAGATTTCTTCGAGAAATATGATTTTCTTAAGGGCGCTTACGTGCTTTGATAATCAACGGATCTTAGATTGTTACTTTGAGGTACTATACTGATTTGAAGTACTTTCTACGACAGTTACCTAAATGATCTATCTCGTTAAAGGGCTTAGCTGCAAGGGGTGAATTGCGATCCTACGACCCTTCGAAGTAGACCTTGCCACGATGGAACAGTGGCGTCACGGACGAGCACGAGGGGGTTGCGAGCTTATCATCGATATTGCAAAGTTCTTGGGTTGTTCGGAAGTATACGCGTAGTATGTAGGCGGATACGTCAAGGCACCCCTTACGTATTTCCACTACCCCTACGTTAAATTAAACGCACCGCCAAGGCATCCCTTTCGACAAGATCAGTCTCACGTTACTATTGTGCCTGCTTGCATGGCTATAAATTTTCGGAGGAATATTTTGAATTTTTGAAATTGTTATTTTTCAATCGCAAACATACTACGTGTCACGTAATTCGGAAGGATCTTAAGGGAGGCTGGCAAGGTGGCAGCGTGCTAATAGTGATTCCTGAATAACTCAGCGCAGAGTGTTTCGGAACAGCGAGAGGGGTTGATGTACCAGTACGTTGCCAGGAGCGCGTCAGTCATTTGTCTGGGATTAGCTCTCAATTGTTTTCGCTGGTGCGCAGAATTAACATAAGCTAGGATGAAGGATGTAGAAGAGACCTAGGCTAGAGGAGCAGACTTCGCCTTGGCTTCTGTGCTTCGTGCGACTCGCTCCTTGATTATTCCTAGGACTGGGCTGTCTCTTTAGAATTGTTAATGACTTTCGCGTCCTCGAAATACACGTCCCTTACTTGGGCCTGTTTTGTCGCTATTCAATAGTTTGGATTGTTATTTAATTTCACTCAATTTAATTATAGCGATTTAATTAATAGAATTTTTTAGTAGACAGTATGCTTAGGGTGAACTATGATCTTCTTGAGACATCTCCCATCTGAGAATTAACTCACAGATTGATACTAAAGCGGTTAGCGAAGAATACACTGCGGGATTGGGAAGCAGCAAGAGAAATTGAAATACCGTCGCTAATAACGTTAATTAAAACCTAACTAAAACCTCAATTAATATCATCGCCCCCCTTACCGCCTGTGGTGGTTGGAGCGTAACGCAGTGCCGACCTGAAGCCACCCCCCTTTTCTTTGGCGAAACTGCCTGCGTCGGCAGTGGCGAAGGAGGACGAGGGGGGTAGAAAGGGGAGGTAGCGAAATAGGTAGGTGGCCGGGTGTTGAGGGTGGAAACGGTGGTACCGACAAATAAATCCCATTACCCACCCCCAAGAGTCGAGACGTAGTCTCAGAAGCCAAAACCCAAAGCCAACCCCCGTCCAGCGGCAGCCCTTCGCCTTTTACTCGTCGGGAAGCCGAACACCCGTAAAAATGAGGGTGTCTCAAGACGTCCATGACCTACCCTTACTACTAAGCTATGTCTGGGATGATGGCGTTCTTTGAGAGAGGGTTTCGAGACTTCCTCCTTTCGCTCCTGACTTTCTTCAACATTCCTTCGCGGTATAGCCTTTCGCGGATAACCCATCCCAAAACTTTCATTGTTCGATGCTCGGGTACAGTTAAACGAGGGGATGGCACAGTAACAGACTCGGAAACTTCTGGAAAACTTTTAACTTTTATTAATGGGAGTTTCTTTGGCTGCGACAAACTAGGACAAGACGAGTCGCGCGTATCGCGTGACGTCATCCCCCGATATGAACTAGGTCGAATGAGAATGATTAAGATAAGCAGTTCAATGACTCACCCCGTCCACTCCTCCCGACGAACCTCAGATCATTGAACTTGGCCACTTGATTCTTCATAAGGGCAGTAGAATTTCTCAACTCGGCGCAGCAATTCTCATCGTTACCAGCACGCACGGTAACCAGGGTGCCATCGCCTACCTCTCCAAGGGCTACCACCTTGAAAGCCACCGGTAGCGTTTTATTCGACCTCCAATGCGCTGGTAGAACGGTGCACACAAGATGCGGCGAACCTGCCGATCAATCGTGATCCATCATCGTCAGGAGTAAGTCTCTATATTAATTTTCCAGATCGTCCCCCATCCGGGCGATCGATCAATTCCAATATTTTCTTTCTTTTCATGAAAATTCATATCTGTCACTTTTTAAAATAATTTCACTATATCGCCCTCTCCTTCCCAGTCTCACCTGTCCTCACGAGCTCTCCCGGATGCTCGTTGACAAAGTTCCCCAGGGTCCTCTCCGCGAGGATGTCGCTAGTCATCTTGGTGTAGGCATCAGCGAGAGGCGACACCCCCGACTCAGGGGACGCCGCCGCCCCGGGGGCAGACGCCCCCGTCAATTGCATACCGCTTTGATGTACGCTGTTATCCGTTCCAACTATCGAACCCTTCGCCCCCGATCCCCGAGTCGTGCCACTTCCAGATCCAGTTCCCGTCGCCGAACTTACACCGCCACCGCCGTTGCAGCGGCCGAATATATCCATAGGCAGTCAGAACATCGGGTGAAACATGGTCTCGGACCGTTTTCTACGTGCGCCGGGACACTCGAGGAGCAGGGGTTGACCTTGTCAGACACTGGGATGATCATCGATGATCATCCTGGCCCCTCTTGCTCAGCCTAGAATTCGGTGATACCAAGATGTCACTTGTCTTTATATCCTCGTTATTTTTTTAAGCTTCCCAAGAAGCTACCGACGATCTGACACTTTGTGGATGATCCACATCGACGGCACCCGAAGGATCTATAGTAGGTCCTACTAGTTCCAATTTTGGGATCTCAATAACATTTGTCACGTATCACATTGATCTTATTCTCTCTCGCTCACTTGTCCCTGTGACAACCTGATTCTCGGGTAACCTAATCAGTATGCTGATAATAGATTTATAGGAATTATTACAATTTTTCATAGTCCATTGATCGTCAATTCTTATTACGATTTTTCCACCAATCGAGAGTCAAGGATATGGGCTGTCATGCTCATACGTAGAATTTCTATGAAAATTAGAATTATTAATTACGAAAAAATTACCAAGTGTAATGTTTTCACAAATATCAATGTCTCATGAAAGACGCGAGGATGACATTTTGAGGATCGATTTAACAACCCCTACATTTATTCAGGGAGAATGACGTAGTGGACAAATAAAATAAAAGTGGATATTAAGGATATCACGGATCACACTGAATAGACAGCATGGTGGGTATAAAAGGCAGGAAGGAAGAGAGAAAGGAAGCAGGAAGCGAGGCAGGTCAGGGCCGGGGGGTGCGAGTGCCGCGTCACACACTTTTCACGCGGGCCTCTCATGACGTCACCGTTCATTCAGTAATTTTTGCGCACGTCAGTCGCGTGACAAGGGGACACGGGGGTTAAGGTAGAAGGGGCAGTCTGTCGGTAGTGGGGGTAAAAAAATAGGGGAAAAAGAAGAGCCGGGGAGTGTAACCCCAACCAATACGCTGCCGCTACGCACGACCGCCGCGTGTCAAAGTGCACGTGGTATTTTTATCCACGTTGCCCACCGCCTACTGAATTCTTTTATTCCCGTTCGATTCGACAGTTTCGCTTGAAGTTAATCATTTTTAAAATATAATCATTCCACCTGATACCGTCGGATGATCACGCTAAGTATATACAGTGATACCAATGATGAGAGCGCGACGAATTCGAACCGACGGAAACGCTGATTAAACCGATAACAACTGAATTGAATGATCATTTGTGGATTTTATGAAACAAATATTATCTGTCACAAGGTAGATAAGATTGATTGATTTTTTAAAATGCAAATTGCGAACAAATTTTTACGTATTTTTTTTCACCATTTTTTTTCAATAACTTATCATGCTTTAAGCTGCTCTAAGATCCTCGCTTTACTTCGCATTCAAATCTCTTGGCGCCTTCCTTGCAAGATTTTCTAGGAAAATAACGGAAAACCGGAATCGGAAGTCTTGGAAGTCTTCGCAAAGTCCGATCGTTCTTCGGGATTGGAACCAGGTGGAGATCTACACTTTCCTCAGGCCTATAATTTCTCATGGACTGATATACCGAGAAATTAATTTGGGCAATACCTATATAAGCGTCCTTGGAATTTAATTATCAAACAGATCCTAGAGCCGACGAACGTTCATTTGACACCTGGAATTGACTCTATACTCGATACAACGATTAATCCTTAGAACGATCCTTCGACGATAATCAATAAACTGTCGAACAATCCACTCTACATATGCGTAATGTCCATAAGAGAATCCTCGTCGAATTAATCCAATTAATCCAATTAATCCATCTAAACCCAAAACACAATGTAAACTTCACACTCGATACTCCTGGGACTTTCATCACCCCGAATAACATTCACATACGTAAACGATCACTCGATCGTTGAAAGATCACAATGATCTAGAACCAATCTTTGACTGATACAAACGATCGTATTAACACAGATCCAGAATCGAAAACAAGTATAATAATTCGTCAACGATACATGCGTTATCACGTCAGTCATCGACCATCGAAATAGACACGTGTACCTATATTCTAGATCTGTCTTAATGTCTTCACCGTTATTCACGTTGATAACGCGACATATTTTACGAGACACTGTACGATAACAAAATAATATCACTTACGTAAAGTAACGCGTGTTAAGATTGCGCGATACGCGGATTCTAGTAGCAGTGAAAACTTAACGGGAATATCGCGGCAGGGTATTTGGCTTTGGAGGTCGACGATGCGTAGGGGTTTGTGGCTCGCGGCTCGCGGAACCTGGGTATTTGGGTATACCCGGTGGGCCACTAACTATAATTTGGGCGGTACGTGTGAGGCAACAGCCGTTGACGCACTGGTCCATGCCTACACACGCAGCATCCCTTTCCTCCGTGGCGTACTGTACTCTCCCGTCCCGTTCCATCCCGTTCCGTCCCCCTCATACCCCTCCAGCGACTACCCACCCTACCACTCTCTCTCTCTCTCTCTCTCTCTCTCTCTCTCTCTCTCTCTCTCTCTCTCTCTCTCTCGCTCTCTCTCTCTCGCTCTCTCTCTCTACCTACCTCACCCTCTGGTCCATACTCCTGACCCTCCTACCCCTCACGGCAGCTTTCTTCCTCTCTTGCTCACTGACACGCTCACTCTCTCTCTCTCTCTCTAACCTTACTCTCTCTGGATTGGCTAGCTCGCTCTCTCGGCACTCTTCCCTATCGCTTTATCTCCCACCGGACTCCCTCTCTAACCCTTGCTAACAACTCTACCTCTGGTTCACCCTATGGTTACTCTCTCATTCTCTATAGTATGCTCTCTCTCTCTCTCTCTCTCTCTCTCTCTCTCTCTCTCTCTCTCTCTCTCTCTCTCTCTCTCGCGCGCGCGGTACCCCTGCTCGATGCTACCCCTTCGTCACGACCTTCCGAACCCCTTCAACCCTTTTGCGGTACGGCGCGTGCTGGACATCACTGCCCACCCTACAAATGTTCGATACTCCGATCGAAGTTCTTTTATGATTTATATCACTTTTCCACGTTTTTGAACTTGCCGTTAACATTTATCGAGCTTTTTTGATATTTTTTGGTCGATTGTTATTGGAAATATTTGTTTTACCTTTACTGCAGGTAATTCATTAATCAGTCATGATAAATTATTTTTGCTTATACGGTAGATAAGCAAGCAGGTATTTTATAGTAATTCGGTATATGCCGATGCGAAAAAACATGATTAATTTTTCAAAAATTTCGAATCCGTGACGAATGAAAAAGTTTACCTCTCACGAAGTTTCGACAGACCTATACCTATTCCGGAGCGGCGTCCCGGCGTGCACGGCTGTCAGGGAACGAAGAACAGCTTTTGTCGACTCTCGTAGACGAGACGGTGACAAACAACGAGCGCATCCCGAAGCTTCGAACAGCATCCTATTGACAAACGACCTAACGCCCGTGCTGGGCGTTGCATTCGATGAGATTCGAATTATCTCTGGCGGAGCTTGTCAATGCAAATGTGCCAGCTACATTCAATTACCGCTCGTCACGCTTCGATCAACGTCGATGCTAGCTGACCTCTAGAGCATAACTACTTGTCTTCCTCGTTCCCTGGGTACATCAAACGTGGGTGAGATAAAACGTTGATCCAGGATGATCGATGGTCAGTTTCGATAAATGAAAAAATCATTCTTAAAAATTTACTCGAACCTTACAGACCCAAGCGAAGTATTCTCAATGATCTCGCGCCCCCTTCCCCTTCGCGACTACCAATCCTTTTCGAATCAGCCATCCTGTACTTTCACCCGATGAGGTGGATCACTTCCGGTTCACTATCCCTTTTGTCACTGCTGACGTCATTTCACCAATTTCAACGGACACTCTTGCACTTCTCAACGACACGTGATCAACCAGTGGATGACATGTTCCCCGTGACTATGTGGGTCTAGTGAAGTACTAAGGGTGCTGTAAGAATAATAATAATGATATTAAGGGTTGTACTGTATAAGGAACCGAAACGGTGAACGACAAGAACGGTAGCAACGGTAGCAACGGTAGCAGGATTCGTGGCGCGCGAGTACTACCACACTGTCCCCATCCTCCATCGTTTATCCTCATCCTCCGCCACGTCTACCTCTACCTCCAACTCGACCTCCAACTCGTGCAGCACCTCCTCCACGACCTCCACCTCCTGTTTCCTCCACCTAAAACATCCCCTAGCCGGCCCGGATGCCAACCCGCTAGTCCCCTCTCGTGAAATCCGCCCTTCCTGGCTGCCGATCCTCCCCACCAGGATCTCGACCGTCGGGACGGCCGGCGTAGAAGGGGTACGACGAACATGTGTAACACGCAGCCTTGATTACACGCGGGCTTGTAAAAAATTCCTGTTGTGCCCACTTGCCGATTTTCTATACAAACTTATTTTTTCTTATTTTTCTTCTGAAAAAAAAAAAAAAAAAAAAAAAAAAAAAAAAAAAAAAAAAAAAAAAAAAAAAAAACGAATGAAAATTTATATGCAATCTATACAAGTATATTTTTTGTTCTTTTTTGATCCTGCTTTCAATATTACATTTTTTATTGAAAGGAGACGTTTCTTTATTGGATTACAATAATGGTCATTTATTCTAACAACAGAATCCGCATGGCCATTGCCAGTAAACGTAACCGTAAACTAAGATTTCTAACGATAAAGACGCATATGCAGAGCAGATATATACAAACAAAAGACTTTATGTTCAAGTAAATGTATCCTTCATTATAGAACAGTCTAACAAGTAGTTTTCAGTGACAATTGAATATCATGTAGTCATTTTGGAAGGATTAAAGTGATACGCGTTTCCTTCTGAAATAAGTTCATATACACATTTTAATTAAGATTTCTAGATTCGAGTAAGCGTTTGTCGATTAATTTGAAAATTCCTAATAAACATCTTCATCCTTGAAAGTGTACCAATCTATACCGCTCCGTATGAGGACACAGTTACCCAAGTAGAAATAAGGAAATTCAACCTTTCCAACGTGCAAGCACGTTTCTCTTATTCGTTTGGTCTCAAGGCGCGCAAGCATGAAGCCACGGCGTATTCTCAATGGCAGCGGTGGCGGCGACCGCAGAATCGGAGGCAAGATGGCAAAAGTAAGTCGACCGAGGGAGAGTAAGAGGTTATATAAAGGGGCGGTACTGCGGCGTGGCCAGCCCACCAGCGCATTCTCGTATACTCTAAGATCCTCCGTAAGCTCCGGGCGAAAACATGGGACTTCTAAAAGCTTCAGAACCAAATTACCATTATATCTTCTAGACTGCAATAAGGATTCGAGAATACACTGTAGATATTGAATATATTAAACTGGCCGATATAGAGACACGTGTAAGGTCTCATTTGTAAAGTCAGACTTCAACGAGCTTTTCCAACGTCCGCTTTTCGTTCGTGTGAACAAACAACTAAGTCCAGGGGGTTGGAGTAGGAAGGGGAGGGAAATTTAAAAATTTGTCGGACCACCACGAAAAGTCTAGAATAAACATATCCTGAACGGTTAGTAGCATTCGGTGGCTGGAGTGAAGTCGATGGTGGG